TGAGGCGTCAGCCATGGCTTGCGATGGCTGTTGTTCCAGTATTAACCGCACTACGATGGTGAGCTGCATCCGTACTGTTAGAACTGCGTGATAACTACCGTGATCTTGGCTCTCAAAACTTGATCAAACCTTTGGCGCGGAAAACAAGCCATGGAGACGAGACCTCGAGTGGGAGGAACAAATGATAAAAGAGAGCAGCAACTCGTGGGAGTACTGCGTGAAAAGGACGAAAAAGGCCAAAGCGACAGACACGGTAACACCCGACGGGTGGGGAAACAAAAGAAGAGAAGAGGTTGGAGATGACATTACCTAGTCTAGCGGATAATATCAACCACAACGCCGGGACTGGGGAAGATGGAGTTGGATGGAGCCTTTTTGGTTCCTTTTGACTTGACGGGGATCGATGCCCGTGCTTGCGTACGCTAACGCAGGCATGCGCAGGTGCGTCGAGTGTCTAGTACGAACGAGTGTGGTCCCGAGTGGCAGGTGGTAGAATGCGGAGTTGAAGCCGATGAAAAACGTGCGGAGACCGCAACATCAGACGGAAGACGGGGGATGACCCTGTGAATGGGATGAATGGAGGGGTGAGGTTCTCGGTTGTCAAGAGAATCACATTGCAACGCTGCTGCAACTGGACTTGGGAAATAATAACATAAGCAAAACTCGATTGGGGCTCGGTCTCTTGACCAGAGACAAAAACTAGAACATCATTGGCTTATCCGTTCTTTTCAGCCGCCAACCCTGGGCCTTGTCGAGCTCGTCTAAGGAAAGTGAGGCTCCCTTGGTACCTGCCAATTGAGGGGCCAACGAGCCTTCTCCTCGTTGAAAATCACTCATTCGGTTGAGGTGGCACTCGGTATCAAGGAAGGTAGAGCCCAGGTAATTTGAGACTTGGATCGTCTCCAGGAAAGAACTCTCTTATGTGTAGGTGGCAGCAGCAGCGGGTGCCCACTCCGCTTTGACCTCGTCCCGCCTTCCCCCCGGGGCCCCATATGCCCCAGCATTTGGGGTGGATCCAGTGTTGGGTTGGAGATGGACCCCCGGAACTAATGCCATGCAACGCTGTTAGTGCGCTCTGGACTTTCTTGACTTCCTTCCACTTTCGATGCCCGCATTTGCACTTTCCAATTTTCTAGCCTTCATCCTAACCAGCAAATGACCTGAACCGTTTTGGACCGAATACCCGAGCTACCTAGCACTCCTCGTACATGTGAAGGACACTGCAGAGTCCAGCGAAGGCAGGCGCAAGAAAGTCGTGCAGGGCGCAGTGACCACCCATCCCTAACATCCCTCTGATCATATGCGAATGCAATGCAGTACTTAAGGGAAACTCGAACCCTGAGTGCACATCACTCGTCTCCAGTCCAGACTCTACCAGATACTAAGGTAGGTACCCTACCACGCCTACCACACGCCCACCATACCTTACCTGTGGCCCTTTGTCTTTCCGCCCCCCCTCCTCAGCTTCCCCGGACCGTCTTACTCAGGTCCAGCCTTTTTTCCTTCCTTGCCGCCTCCAGTCGTCTTCTCTCTTACCCACCCCCCTCTCCCATCTCCATGGTCTAATCGACTTATCTACTATTGTCCTTATCCAACATCGCAGTCGCACTAGGCACACGACTCTCCCATAACTGCTTTGTCTTACCGGCTCACGCGACCGATCCGTGTTCAAGATATCCGTCTTTCTTATACCCACTGGAACGCACCAAGCAACTTGAACGGCATTGGATCGTCGTCCTTGATCACCAAGCTGGGACCCTTCGAGCCCACGACGCATTGAACTTAAAAGCTCTCCCCACAGCGCCCTTCCCGAGAAGGACAACGTGCGTACGCGCGATGGATCCCCTCACCCGCACCACCGCTGCGGATATCGAAGAAATGGCGTAAGTTTTCCACGTCATGGACCATGGCCTTGTTTGATTTGGATCGACACGTGCTCGGGAACCAGAGCGGCGGGCCATGCCGACTGTCTCGGACAGGGAATTGGGAATGTTTGTCACAAACGACATGGGCTAACATACATTGTTTCGCACAGGGAACATCTGCATCGCATAGGAACAGGAGGCTCTCCGAAATCCCCCACTCGATATCGCGACTCGCCGGCGCGGCATGAGCGGCATGAACGGCATGAATTCTGGAACGAGCCGCAGGACCAGCGGCGCAAGGTCGCGTCCAGTGGTAGCTTCTCTCCGTCGCCGTCGCAGTCATCCTACCTTGCCGACTCCAAGGAGGTGGAATTTGGACAACATTGGACTCCGCTGTCCGACTACAACGATCCCGTCTACGTCCCAAGATCCGCTCACTCGGTGCGAACACCGTCAAACAGCGTGTCCTCGTCGCTCCGGCAAGACTCGAGAGCTTCGGACACAAGGAGACCGTCGCAGTCGGCTGCCAGCTACAGCCTCTATCCTCCCTCCTCTCCTCCGATAACCAAACCTCTCCCACCACTTCCCCTCGTGAAGAACTCGCGCCGCGTCTCTTCTCAGGGTTCATTCGATGGTTCTGATGCCGCTTCCTCCTTCTCGGCCTCTCGCCTCTCCCAGGCTTCCAGATCATCAAAGGCCACATCATCGGGTCCGGACCGTATGTCGAACGATGCCATTCCGCCACTCTCAAGCCCTCTGTTCCCCTCGCCTCCTCTACATCAATTTCCCATACCGAGTGAGGAACGACCAAAGCCAAAGACAAGGCCACGAGCGGGCTCCGCCGCCCTCGATCTGGTGCCCTGGAAACACATGATCTCGAACGACAAGTCTACCAAGGACCCAACTGTTTTTTACTTCGACGTTTCGACCACCTCCGCCACGCTTGCTAGCAAACATGGAAATAACATCATCAAGGTGTGGTCTGTTGGAAGTGGGATTTTGCAGAGCACTATCAAGTTCTCATGCTACACAGCCGCCCAAGCTCGTTCGCGCGAATACTTTGTCCGCAGTCACGCCATTCTCTCTGAGCCAGCCACAATGATCGCCATTGCCACAGGTTTTGGCGACACCCTTGAAGTATGGGACTGGGCCAAAAAGAAGAAGCTCCAAACTATCGAGAAAGCAGACCGATGGGCCGCTGTTAGGACCAGTGTTTACGAAGCCGGCTTCAGCCCTCTAGTTACCTACGCAGGCGATGCCGACACGATCGATCTTTATTCCGTCACCCAAAGCAAGAAACCCTTCACGAAGAGCCGCACCATTGAACTTCGCAAAGCCAACCTCCCGGTTATTCCCCAGTACCCCGAGCTTGCCTTCTCTGCGACCGGTCCCCTGCTTGTCGCCGCCTCCGGGCCACGACCACCTCGTCTCGGACATCCTCCTCCCGAGCGTGAAACGCTTCTCGTAGCCTGGGACGTCGGGGACCCTGCGGATGACTCACAGCCCATGTCTCATACCCCATACAAGTGTGTGACACCCTGGGCGCATACGGAACTTGACACTGCCTTGCCGTCTGGTCTAGCAACCTACGGTTCGGTCGCCGTCTCCATCTGGATCCCAGCCTCATACCGCGCCGTACCTGTCCCTGCCGCCCGTGGTGGGAATGGATATAATCTGGCACCTGTCCCTGTTCCCTATCGCCACGTTCTAGTGTGGGACTTTTCGGCATCCTCGACGAAGACCTTCCGTATTCCCAACGCGATATCGTGCGTCAGTCCTGACTGTCGATATGTGGCGTATTGCGATGCGACGGGGATCGACTTGGGTGGCCGCGGGTGCCTGGTGATCCTAGATGCCATGACCGGGACGGAGTTGTGGCGCTGGCCGGACCCGGATGCTGGGGTCATGGAAAGCGGACCAAAACAGGGGCACGAACAGTTGGAGGCGTTGAGCAAGGTTACCGAGTTGTCATTCTCAACAGATGGCGGATTCCTGTTCTTGGGAGATTCGGACGGGGGTTGTGGTGTCTACGAAGTCAGAGAAGCGGCAGCGGGAGCAAATGGGCAGAAGCTGAATGTCAGACCTATAAGGTGAAGGGTGATTGGGGAGTTCATGGCCTGAATTGTTGTGTTTGAGCATGTAGGATGGATATGACCAGTTGGAGAGTTGAACGAGGCTATGGGATACAGACCTGGAGTTGCTACGACGTGGATGACAAGAAAGTACAATAATAGGTGGACAGCCGTGGAGCACTGGCCTACGGTATCATGATACGGTCTTTTGGATATATAATAGCATGATGTTTGAGGATACCCTGGTAAGTACGGTCTGTTTGGAGAGAGATCAGATACAAGACGACCGGGAAAAAACTAGTATTATTATTCCCTTCTTGCTAAATACGCATTCATCCCATCCCTTGTTCTGCTATACTTCTTCGGGGCTAATGTGTCGGTGGAATGTGTCTTTTTTGAGCGCGGAGAGAATCACACCACTCTCGAGCTTTCTTACTGAACAACCCGATCAGTTATCTACCTACTCATCCGCCGCCCACGGGTTTTCATTTTCTTACCGGTCCCAGGATCATTTCAGCATGCTTGATGGCCTCCCTTCAAACAATACTTCTCCTTGAATGAACACTCATGCTGAGGGCTGAGTGTGCTTATGACTCGAACGGCCACGAGTGCCGAACGCTACTGTTGCAGTCCTAACAGCAATCATTGTTTGAAGAATGTACGCGCATTTCATTCTTTGAAGCCTATAACGCGGTTGAAGTGTTGTGACACCCGTCATACTCCAGTTTCTCAAACAAGCCCTTTGTCAACAAAGCCTGAATAAGGTCTGAATAGGGGCAAATACATACACTCTATATATGGCAATCATGATTTTTCATATTCTACCCCTGTATCCCCCCTGCATCCCTAGATCTGAGAACTCAAGGTCATCTTTCCATTCACTCGCTTTCTCCGCAACATCCTCAACATCTTCCGAGCCTGAAAACAAACCGTGGCCTTGACGCATACACTCCTTCACGTTTATCCTCTCTCATTTTTAGCTACACGATCATCTTCAGCGTCAACGCCATCGTCATCCGAACCTTTCGCAAACTGCCAATAACATCTTCTTAATCCAACAACCATGATCTTCCTCACCAACCTCCGCTCATCCACCATCCTCCTCCTCCTCCTCTCCGACCTCCCCTCCCCAACAACCGCCCTCCCTACGCCTAGCCCAGGTGGCTACGGTGGCCCAACTTACACCTGGAGCAACCCCCCTCCCACAGGTGGCTCCAAAGGGGGAAATAACAACGGAAACTATATCACCAACTTCTCCTTCGCCAAATGGGTCGAAGAAGTCCAAAAGGGCAAAGGCACGACGACGCCCCAGCAAGCTATGGCCCAGTACAAAGCGAGTGAACACGCTAAACGGCAAGCCAGACGGCAGCAAGCCCTCAATCTCCCTCCCGACTATGACGACGACGAGGAAGATGATGACGAGTTACCCCCTTGGTATTTCACCCATGGCCCCGGTGGGGGGAATAACACCACCAAAAGGGCGTCAGAACCAGACGCGGGTCCAACCTGCTACTGGCACAAAAACCAGCGCCCCAAGGTAGAGGATACGTTTACTGTTGTTTCGGCAATGGCGTATCATCCGGAACTGTATACTATTCATAAGGACGGTGGCAGGGATATTACTCACCCATCCAATACGGCGAGTCTGAATGTTAGGAGTATTACGGGGGAGAGGTATGGAGTGGCGGGGACGGATATTGCGCGGGCGGGGGGGTTGATTATGGATTATTGGTGAGTTTTTTTTTTTTTTTGTGGTTTCTTTTCTTTTCGCTGATTTTGTTTCTTTTCTCCTTGCGAGACTTTTTCTTGGATGGAGTGGGGAGTGAGTGAGAGCGAGAAGAAGGAAGAGGGGAAAGAAAGTAAAGTGAAGTACGAACTTACAGGATGAAAGTTGCTAACACGGTTAATGATGAAATAGCACTTGGAAGGGAAGAAGTGGTGGTGGAGAGTACGCGTGGGGAAATGGGTACCTTTATGTCACTATTGAGCATACGGGCAGGGGGGAGAAGACGATGCAGGAGAATTTGATGGATAAGAGGAGGGAGTTCATTGGGCCTAGGAAAGCGGGGGAGGAGGAGGAAGAAGGTGAGGGAGAGCCAGAGTGGCAGATGGTGGTGAGAGAGAGAGGAAGTAGAAGTAAAACGAACGAGCAAGAGCGCGCTTGAGGTCCGCAGGGAGGTTGTTGTTGTAATGATGAGGGGAGACGAGTGGGAATCAAGGTTGGATATACCCCCGAGGATTGAGCTTAGATTGTACTTTCTCTTTCTTTTCTTTTCCTTTCTTTTCTCTTCTCTTCTTTTCTCGTTTTCTTTTCCTTCTGTGTAATTAGTTCTGTTAGCTTTTCATGTTTTTCTTTCGAGGACTCGATCCTCCGTCTCATGAAAACTCATGCAAACCTTGCAGGTTCGGAAGGGAGGACTTGCTTGGAACGCCAAGCCATGACAGTGTGTTTGCTGGAACCTCTTATTATCAAATAATGTGTTCATACGGATTCAACTTCGGACTTCTCAGCCGATGAGGCAATCTGGTGAGATGCAAAGGTGGTGGTGGCTCGATGTTGGACGGAGGAGAGGATGAATGCAGGCTCCCCACAAAATAGTGAGACCACTGCCGAACCGGGGACGGTCACTCAGCAGCATATCTTGATGAATGCGTGTTTGAGTGCATAGAATGGACCTGAGGGATTGCCGAGTGCATCCGGTACATGATACCGTAGTTGAAGAATCAATAATCCAAGTGTAATGGTGTACGATGCTGCTCGGATTTCCCAGATTTTCCATGATGGTTGTGTTTTTAGTAGTGCGAGTTGAACTTCCTCGTGGTATCCGAGCTAAGCCGCAGCCACAAGCAGACTAGCTCCACCCCCGAGGAGTCGAAGCGAGACGTCCAATCATTCTCGGCGGTATAATCAATACGTACACCTCTGGAAGTTGAGGCCTTGTGTGTAGTTGCCCAAGTGTTTAACGAAGAAAGAGCGTCTCAGCGCATGCGAAGACTAACGGATTACAATAAGCTTGGATAAAAAACTACCGGGTCTTACTTACAGCATCTACTCCACCAGAATGAAACGCCCCTTAACCTGTAAGCTATGTACCTGACCCTGCGCCGAATTTAAACCGCAAAGTTGAAAGTTGATTAGAAAAAGTATTGGCAAGACCCCGTCAAAGCACCCATCCCAAACTCCGCTGTGCGCCATTCCGCAGTATCTGGCCTTGCTCTATAGGCCGCAATGCCTTCTCGGTCTTGATTATGATGGTAGACCAATTCTGTTGCTGAACCGTTCATGACGTTGTCTCTTGGACATGCCCAAGCCGGTGTCCTAAAGGTTAGTCTATCACTGGCTCGAACTAAGCCTGTGTCTGTCCCTCTGCCTCTGGCCCCTTGTCCTTCTTTCTTCCTCTCTCATGCTCTCTAAGACCTGAGCTAGCGGCACTCTCGCCAACCCTCACCTCGTCCTCCGGTACACCAACCGCGATGCTGCTGATTGCACTGACTACTCTCGGTCGCTCCGCTCTTGCCGTAGGATCAGCATCCCTCGGCGCAGCGATGCTGACACCGCCGGTGGCCGCAGTACTAGCAGTAACACTAACGCTGGCAGTGGTACTAGTACTGTCGCTCCGGGTCCGCGGGGCTAGTGACCCTGCACCGCCTTGGCTTGCGCGGCTAGCATCGCTAGCCCGTCGCTCGCGGACCATGCGTTCCAACTCCCGGACTCGTCGTTTCAGCGCTTCATTCTCTCTCTTCACATTCTCAAGTTCGCCACGATAGAAGGCCGTCTCCTCATAGCGAGGGGTTCCGGGCAAGATAGCTGGAGAATGCTCAGATCCGGGGGTTGCGGCCATTGAATAATATGCGCCGGACATACGATGGGCGAAATAGTTGACCGTCGAGGGATCGCTAGGATTCGATGAGGGTGTGAAACTATGCGTGGGAAGAGCGCCGGAATAGCTGCCCATGAAGTGAGCGGAGGATGGCGAGCCTGTCTGACTCCGTCTGGAAGCAGCACTATTTTGCCTGCTCAAGCTGATACCGCCTATGGGGAGAGGTTGAGTTGGACGGACCGGGGCGGGCGACGAGATACCAGCGAGTGATGTCGAAATAGAGCCGGCGTTAGCTGTAAGGCTGCGCGTGCTGGCGCTAGAGGATGTACGATGGTGCATGCTAACACGATGATGGGATAGTCCTGGCGCACCGGATCCGATATACGCGTCGCCAATAAGTCCAGATTCAGTACCCGAAGCGCTAGCTGAAGCCGAGGACGCATTCGAGATCACCGATGCATTCGAGACAACCGATGCGTTGTGCGCAGCGCGGAGCATGCTGAGTTCACGGCTGAGGCGGTTAACCTGCACCACGCAAAAAAAGTTAGCTACTGAGTATGGACGATATTGGAGGAGGCTTAAACATACGACTGCCTCTTGTTCCTTCTCCAGTTGCAAATGCAGATCGGCGGCGGTCAGGGGACGAGGATGTCGTGTTGGTCCGGGACCAGGATCAACGCCCGCGTTGTCTTTCATGGCGATGCTGGCAGGTAAATAGTGAGGAGAAGGCAACGGAGGCGAGGTTACAGCGTTGTTGACGGCGGGCTGGTTCGAAGGAAGGATGTTCAGAGCGGGCGAGTTGGGTACTGGAGGGGGAGGCATCTGCTGTGAAGCTGCTTCAGCGCCTGTTTGACTTTGCGAAGCCGTTTGCGAGGCCGTCGTTTGAGGAGCTGTTTGCGAGGACATGATGCTGCTTTGCCGTATCGAGGAGGTGTGCTAAACGGGACAGAACACGGAGGGCCTGGATGTTGATCAGACGGGATTGCCCGTGCGGATATCGGCCAACAACTGAAGTGAACGTAACGGGAAATCAAAGGTAACCGGAACTGTAAGTCGGATCTCCAAAGCCTTATATTCTCGACCACTAGCACCTTTTTTTTCCGGCGAGACCGCAGAAACCAAATGAAGGGTATAGGCAGAGATAAAGTGTTTACCACCTCAATCAGAGTTCCAAATTTGTTGATTTCGGATTTGACAATGTTTGATGTTGCGAGATTGGGAGTTGCGACTTGCGACGGCCTGGGCTCCAGCGTCAACCAGATAAAAGGGGCATGAAACAAGATACGCACGGGTCAAGTTGGGAAAATGGAAAAACCACAAGCTTAGTGTCTGTGCGATGGTGTATCGGACGACCGCTCTCTAGTCAGTTTCGTGTTGGTGAAGCGAACGTGTAACCGTGATCGAGACCGTGGCCGTGTTGTCGCAGTGGACGGTTGTTCAGTGGATCGCCGGAGCCGGTGAGCTTCACACCACCTGATGGAAATCAGGTGGGGCAGTCACCTCCATGAAACAGCAGCCATGCCTGCCGAACGAGCCACGGACGAGGAAGCTTCCCCGCCTTTTTGCCGGCCGGGAGACACTCTGCTGTCCCAGACCCGCCCTCGTCTTGGCGCTGTTGCCGGTTGGAAGTTGCCGTGGGCCTTGCTTCAATGATGTAATTGCTCACCAATGCCAACAATGACGGAAGAACATGTCGATTATCAATGACATGGGATGGACCTGCCGCAAAACCACAGCAAGCATGGACACAACGGCATTTCAATATGCCAGGTACCTGGTAAGGTACCGACGGGACTGCTGATGTCAGGAGCGGGGTTATCTTGAATGGACGTGGAAGGTAGGATACTTTAAATGGTCCTCTTTCTCTTCTTCAGGAATCCGTGAGTCTCTCACTGCATCAACACAACTTGTACATTTTCCGTCACGCAACCAACATTAACACAATACGTGAGTCTACTTGTGGTTTGGCTGAGCCAAGTCCCAACAAGGCGTAACTAACCGTTTGGCTATAGTGTGTAAACACAACCATCAAAACCCACACACACACCTCAAACACATTTCATCATGCCTTCCCCTGAGCGCGGCCAGTCCCCCCCTCCCGAGCGCCAGACCGGCAAGCAGCAGAGCTCGGTTGCTGGTTCCGGTACTGGCGTCGACGACGCTTCCAAGAAGGATCAGACCAACAAGTCTGGTCTCGAGGTACGACCCCGAGCATTTGACGATCGTGCACAACTCTCTCAGCTGTAACTAACATGGCTTCCAGAACCTCACATCCAACCCCAAGGGTCCCCTAGACGACGAGGTCGAGAGAAAGTTCGCGAAGACGAGCAAGCCTGAGGATTCAAAGTAAAGAGCACATGGGAAGCTTAATGGGACACAATGATTCATGAATTTGGCGTTGGGAATGTTTTCTTGGGACTGGGAAACCGATGCTGCCTCTAGAAGCGATGCGGCAGCCATGTTGAACATTGGCCAATTGGTCGATTTGAACAAAACAAGTAGAGCACAGATTATCTGACATCAAATGACCTACACTTGAACCCATCACGAACATTACTACAATCGAACATTGCCTGTGCTTATATCTGACGTCGACGTTGTGGGTGCACTCTCCTGTCGTTTTGGCACCTAAGGTCCTGGCAGTGACGTTATCTTTTAGGGACATTGGGACGAGGTAGGGATCACCGCTTCCAATAAAGCGCCCTGCCATGGACATAGCATCCAGTTCGCCCAAGCACATCTTCAAAGTGAAGATCAGAAACTATCAATTTATGAAACAATGACCGGGACCTACACGTGCTACACAACTGGAATGAGAGTCAGCAAAGACACTTCAAGAGGCCACCTTCACATGCCATGACATTGCGATGTGCAATTTCATCCCAACGGAGGCAACCTGCTCAAACGCCGTCGTCACTTCCTACAATTCCCAGCTGGAAGATGGACCCTTTGCCCCTGCTGTTTAACTTCGTGACGTGTCTTGGCATTGAAGCTTGGCACCTTCTGGCCCGCTCTGGCCCGCTACAAAGCGACTTTCATGGAGTTTCCTCTGTTCGCACAGCCACCCTGGATGGCCCCTCGATCATGCGATGACGACATGCCTAGTCGTCGTGTACCCCTCCTTCCGCCCATGGCTTCTCCCACTTTCTATCCCTCGCTCCAGCCTGTGACAGTCCCAAGCTGAGTTTGTCGTGAACCAGTCAAGTCCACTGCCCTGCATTTTGTACACATTGGGCAAGCGTTGTCCATCATCTGACGAACCCTTTATACATAAGACCAGTCCACATCGATCTCTTCCCAACTTTGCTTCTGTTTTTGGCCCTACTTCGAATCTTCCCCCATTGCCAACCAAACAAACAACAGCAAACACCTTGTCCATAACAGTTCTCGATACCTACCAAACCACACACAGATACCATCTCAACAACAGCAACCATGTCTACAGTCTACGTCAAGAACATCGGTGCCAAGACCGAGGAGAAGGACATCCGTGCCTTCTTCAGCTTCTGGTAAGCTTCTTGTGTTCCAGGAAGAAGTATGACAAGGATGTAAGCTAACACTGAACTCGAATCAGCGGCAAGATCAGTTCCCTCGATGTCTTCACAGAAGGCGAGACCAAGTCCGCCACCGTGACCTTCGAAAAAGAGACCGCCGCCCGCACTGCTCTTCTTCTCGATCACACCAAGCTTGGCGAGCACGAGCTCTCCGTCACCTCTGCTTCGGGAGAGCACGCCGATTCTGGAGACGATGCCCATCCCAAGTCTGACGCCGACCGCGACACCGATGAGATCACACAGGAGGAGAAGCCGCGCTCGCGCGTCCTTGCCGAGTATCTGGCCAACGGCTACCTCGTTGCTGACAGCGGCCTGAAGACGGCCATCGCCCTCGACGAGAAGCACGGCGTTTCTCAGCGCTTCCTGTCGACGATCCAGAACCTCGACCAGAAGTACCACGCGACCGACCGGGCCAAGACGGCCGACCAGAGCTACGGCATCACTGCGCGGGCTAACTCCCTGTTCAGCGGTCTCTCATCGTACTTTGAGAAGGCCCTGGAGGCTCCCGGCGCCAAGAAGATTGTCGACTTCTACACGACCAGCGCCAAGCAGGTGCAGGACATCCACAACGAGGCCAAGCGCCTCGCTGAGCTGAAGAAGGAGGAGGCCGGTGGCAGCTCATACAAGGCTGCTGGTCTGGACAAGGTCTTCGGTGCCGAGAAGGCACCCGGCCAGGAGGGCAAGCCCAACGACCAGGTGCCCGGCGGTGCCCCTTCTGATGCTGCTGCGACCGAGTCGAACCAGCAACCGATTGCTCAGGGAGCGTACCCTGGAACTGCCGAGAAGATCCCCCAGTAAATGGATGGCTCGAGGCGGAACGGAGGAGAATCACTGGTTGATGACACGTTGTTCGCATGGTTAGCTGAGCCAGCAAGGTGTTGCCGTGGCTTTCGGTGGGGCTGTTTTCATGACACTTTTATGACTGTTTTGGGATTGGGATTTCATTTTTGGCGTTCCTTTAGTCTTTAAATAAGTAATGAACGAACCTTCCAAGACTCAAGGCTTATGACAGCAGCAGTTCCTTCGCAGCATAATGACGGTGCATGCAATGTCTGATCAAAAAGCATGGTCGCGTACAACACGTGCATGTGCTTTGTACATGATGCTTGCTGATGCCATCTGAATTGTTACCTTATTTTGTCCTTCGATGAACGGTCATATAAGACGTCGCCATGCTCGGACATTGTCGACCGACAGTAAACCTAGGATTTTCTCCCGAAAAGTCGATCAGTCCAGGCCAGTTCAGTGTCACGATCCATGAGGAGATATATGCATGAAGTCAACTCAACTGTATAGTTGTCTGACTCTTCTGTTTTCCGCAGAGCAAATGCTTGTCCTAGGGCCCAGTACGCGATGAACGTAGGTGCCTCTGGATCCTCTTAAATCGACCTCTCCGTCCTGTTTTCCGGAGTGTCCTGTTGTCCATCGATAAGGTAGGTCCTGTAAGCCATGTGGTCGGTCGGAAGGCGAGATGCCCGGCACTCTCTGTGATCGATCGCCTCGGACGCCCATTCTTCTTCATCTCCCTCGGGCCTGTGTGGACATTATGCGTCCTGGCCTCTTATCCAACCAACTGAACCTCCGAAGCCACTCACTCGTTCACCAACCCCCCTCTACCGAAACCACCAATTCACACTCCCATTAATCCCCCCCTCCTCACCCACGCTCTTAACACTATGCCACCACCCCAGCGGCATAAACAACATATCCCCCGCCCTTACCGTCACCTCGTACAGCATCTCAGTACCCTGCCCCTCTCCATCACCGTCACCACCACCACCACTACCACTCCCCCAAACAGCCCCCTCCAAAACCCTCCTCTGCTCCCCCTTCATCATCTCCTCCCCCCTCATATTCGGATTACCAGCCGCCATCAAGGAAGCCATAACCCCCCGAAACAGCGCCTCCCCCCTCTTGGGCGCCATCAACCGCAGCCTTTTAGTCCCGCACAACTGGCAAAACAAATTCGGGTTTGGGTCTCTATGCCAGGGTGTATATGTCGGTTGGAGACCAAGCCAAATGCTGGAGGAGTAGATGTCGCCGCGGCCGGCGTGGGAAACTAAAAAGGGCGTGGGGAGGTCGGATTGCAGGGGTGCCGGGAGGTGGGAGAGGGGGGCTTGGGCTATGTAGAGGTTTGTGAGTGGGGGTTTGAGGTTTTGGGAGGAGGAAAGGGAGGTGTTGTAGTGGTGGGCGAGGAGGAGGAGGTGGAGGGGGAGGTCGAGGATGAGGAACTCGGACGCTGAGGAGGAAGGGGAAGAGGTGGAGTGGTGGGTGATGTAGGTTTTGAGGAGGTGGGCTAGGGCGAGACGGGATTGTGAGTCGGAGTCGGAGTTGGAGTCGGGGTTTGAGTCGCTGGATGCCGTTGGTGAGGAGGAGGACTGTAGCCAAGATATGAAATCCGAGACTGGGGCTGAGTTTGGGGATGAGAGTTCGTAGGGGAGTATGGTGGACCGGAAGTTGTCCAGGTAAGGAGTTAATGAGGCCTTTCCCGAGGTCGGAGAGGTGGTGAACCATTTGGTTAGGGCGGGTAGAGACAGAGTTGGTGAAGTCGAAGTGCTGGTTTCGGTATTGGCATCATTTTCTTGGTTAGCAGCGCTAATATCAGGAGGCTTAGTGCTTGGTCGTATGAGAAGAGGCTTCTGAGCTTGAAATGCATCTCTTCTGAAGTCCTCTATGCTGATCGGCGCAACTGCCTCCGCGACCGTTTTGAGGGTCCTGGCATGGTTGGTGAGGATAAAGAGCGGTTGGCTGATCAGCCGGGTTGGCCTGGAACTGGGAAGTGGCTTTCCTGCACGAAACATTAAAAGTACACAAAGAATGAAAACATGACGGAAAAGAAACCAACGACGACCACCCAAATTGCATTTACAAGTGGAAGCTTCTTCGGAGTTCATCGAACCACACCCGACGAGACGGACAGAGAGGTACGTACCTTTGATCGATCATCACCAAGTGGACCCTTTTCTCTATCTCAGTTCCACTTGATAAGATAAGCGGCTGGGTTCAGACGCGCTGCACGCGCATGCCCGGGGTTATGTGACGGAAAAATCAGGCATCCCACCATGGGGCTTGGCGCGGGGCTGCTCCCTGCGGCAAGGGTTGACAGAGGAGGATTGGGAAGGCCCAGACTGAAAGACGGGAGGCCGCACAGACCAGGCGCCCACCAGTGGGCTGTAGCACGAAATGAGGGCGGGCTTCAACTCGAGCAACCCAAAAGGCAAACACAGCCATCGAGTCGACAGCCTCCGTTAGCGCAAAGTCCAAGGCAGCACAGAACCACCAACCACCTCCTTCGCTGCAACACCAGACAATCATTGAAGCGCCTAGCTAGTCTGTCTGTTCTTTTTGTCCATCTATTTGCGCCATCCTATGCGCTCGGTCATGTCTACGCAATAAAGAATTGAAACACCCCATCCAGCATCGCAGAGAGCGTCGGCCCCAACGGACACGAGCTACACCAAGTCGTCTCGTTTCGATCGCACTCATCAGATAACGCCCGATAGAGGTACCAGCAGCCCCATTGAACGCCTGCTCCGTCGCCAGATACTCGAATCTTTTCGCGTCCGCTTCCATATCCCAATTCCACCATGTCGAGCTCGTCGGGCGTGCCAGAGTCTTGGATCGCATCCTTCTGCTCCCTCCTGGGACACGAGTATTTTGCCGAAGTGTCAGAGGAATTCATCGAAGATGACTTCAACCTTACTGGCCTGCAGACCCAGGTCGCCATGTACAAGGAGGCTCTCGAGGTATGCCTGTTTATGGAAACGTTTTGTCCGGCTTCGGCAGCTAATCATTGTGGTTTCAACCTGACTAGATGATCCTTGATGTCGAGCCCGAGGACGATGATGACGAGGAGGAGGAAGACGAGGAGGACGAGGAAGACATGTCCGGCGGCGACGGTATCAACAAGCCCCACGGCGAAAGGAGACACCACAGCCGCATTGCGAGCGACCTCTCTGTGATCGAGTCCTCGGCCGAGATGCTGTACGGCCTGATCCATCAGCGCTTCATCTGCTCGCGGGCGGGTATCCAGCAAATGTCGGAAAAATACGAGCTCGGCCACTTCGGCATCTGCCCGCGCACAAACTGCAACCAGACCCGGACGCTGCCCGTCGGCCTCTCGGACACGCCCGGCGAAGACACGGTCAAGCTGTTCTGCCCGTCGTGCCTGGACGTCTACGTGCCACCAAACAGCCGCTTCCAGACGGTGGACGGCGCCTTCTTCGGCCGCACCTTCGGCGCGCTCTTCCTCATGACCTTCCCCGAATACGACCTGACCAAGACGGGCGCCGAGAGCGTCAGCAACCTCACACGATCCGGCTCTGACGACACCACCGTCATCAACGGCATGTACGCGCGCAACATAGCGCCGGGGCTGGGCAGGGGCAAAATCTACCAGCCCAAGATCTACGGGTTCAAGGTGTCGGAGGTTGCGCGCTCCGGGCCGCGCATGCAGTGGTTGCGCAGCAAGCCTGACGATTTGAGCGTGCTGGACGAGGCTCGTCGCTATGCGGAACAACAAGGGTCGGATGACGAGGACGAGAGCATGGGTGTGAGCAGCAGGACAGCGTCGAGGCGGCGGGGCCCCCCTAGGAGGCAAAAGCAGAACGGGAGTCCGATGGCGATCGAACAGAATGGGGCTGAGTCGGAGCTTTGAGGTTGAGGTTGAAAGGCTGAAACTTGGGTTTGAATGTATGGAAAAGGAGGAACGGGTTTTGTAGGTAAGGAGTAAGGAATTGTGTGCGCAAGCAACTGGACAACGGGCTGTTAATCACTTCTTTTTTACATCTCCCTCTGAACCTGGCATTGATTCGTATCACACACACAAACTTCCTTTTCGTCGGCTTTTTTGGTTTGATTCTTAAGTCAACGGGTTCAGGAATCGGTTACTGTCGGTAGCTTGCAAGAGCGGTTTTTAGCTGGGTTGGGGTCTTTTTTTCATATCAAGGTTGATTTTCCTTCTACAGCGGACTCGGACGTGGTGCGCATTCCAATGATCATTGCATGCCGATTATAGAGAACGAGAGGAGGGCACAATATGGGTCGTTCGTCTCATGGTATACCAGTCAGTTCATAACGCAGTTTACATCTGGCCTTCTTCATCCTTTCAACTCACTATTAAACTGACAGGCAGAAGCTTTGCCAATCGGTCAGTACTCACATCCCAAGGTTCTTCGTTGTTAGCGAATTTGGGACCCATCACAAGCCAGTCATGAAGATTTTGTCTGCAGATACGGTCAACATCTTATCTTCTTTGATCCTTGTGAGGTTCGTGTTTTTCCTAGTTCTCCTTCAGCGGTGTTGTTAACGGCTCGCGTGCCTATATTCTCCCTCTCCTGCGATCTTCCAATTTCGTAGCCTGATTGTGGTAAATCATTTACCAACTAGGTACACGTGCTTGAAGCGTCTGATACCATTCCCATCAGCATGATCGAAAGAACGACCGACGACGAGGATAAGCAATATTGGAGTCAACAGAAAATACTGAGCACCCAATCTAACGAAGTCCGTCGTTCTAGATCATTTGACCTACACGACAAACCTCTCCGAGTAGCATGGAGAAAGATATTTCCTGACAATTCTTGTTCTTCTTGATCGACGAGAGATATAAGCTCGATATGAAATACCTAGGAGCTCGAGCATTATGTCTCGCGCTGAGGAATAGTCTGGGGTGTATTGTTCACATTAGGTAGGTGTGGAAACCATGAGAAAAAAGACAATAGAAAGAAGGGGGTGATAAGAGGGTGATAAGATATGTCAGACACGGATAAGTTGAACTTACAACTTCAACACACGACTAGGTTGTATAACATACTTCGCCCAAAGTGTGACCGGCAACTGCTACCTACCTTACCCATCTTCGGACCCGGCTCCCGTTGCCCCGTCACTCCATCACGGTACAAGAAAGCTTGTCTGCAGTTCAAAGCCCCAACTTTGTGACCGCCGATATCAACATGACAACTAGGTAGCCGATGGACACACAATTGCACACATGAAAATTGCGCAAGTAAGAACCTCAATACCATTGAACCTGTATGACTACAACCTCGTATTTAACTTGAGCGCTTACGACATCGGCGCTCCGTAGACAGCCGCCCCGTTGTGGTCCCGTCGACTCCACTTCCTCCGGTCGGGTCAGTCGGCGAAAACCCCACCCTCTTCCTCCGCGCGGGGCCGTAAAAGACCCGCAAAAAGTCGGAGCTTATCAACCGCCGGCCCACCGGTCGTTCCGAGTGGGGGGCCGAAACGGTAAACGAGCAACGATAAGCTTCCGTCACCAGAGGTATCAATTTGGTGTGTGAAACTGAGGATGGTCGGGTGTCACAGAAGGCTGGGGCGCTCGCTCCCTCCCGAACAGCAACCGTCGCGAGATTGCATGCTCCTCTTTTGTTGCGACGTACCAACGGTACAGTGCAAGAGTTGCCTGTTTGGCTGGGGAGGTGGAGGATTAGAATCCTTTGTGATATGACCCTCCGGCCATGGGGAGATTGAGAGAAGGCTGGCTGGCTTCCATGAACGATATCAGTTACATAAGGTAGTTGATATTCGCCGTGAATGACGGTGAATTGCCCGCTCGAGATCTTCACGTCTTTAAAGTAATATCGCTGTCCGTCCTTGACCGCAACCGCCATCCGGCAAAACCAAGGTGTTTCATACGATACCGGTGTTAAAAGGAGGCGGACTAAACCTCGGAGATAAGAAAAGAGGAAAAAAACGACGGTTAAAACTGAACGGAATTCTACCCGATTTCGTATTTAGAATCCAGGAAGAACAAACAACATCAATACCGGCCACCGCAGGGTCATTAAGGCAGAACTTCGGATAACGGCATTTCATCCTATGAGAAGCTAAGACGGAGAAGGTTAGGGAGGGTGTCTCCATAGGGGACCCGCCCGCTGATCCTGTCTCCGGCTCGCAGTTGGATTTGACATCTGAGAAGAACAGAAAAAAATGAATGGCAAAAAACCTTAAAACCTTATTTGGATGGTTGGTGAAATGTTGTGCGTGTGATACTTAGCCCATGATATTGACGGCTGAACGCTAACGACGACACCTCCAAATCAACGAAGCCCACGGTGAAATACCGTGGTAAATCCGGGCTGTGGTGGCACAAAATACAAATGAAAATGCAGCGTACGTGTGAGTGACACAAAGGACGTAAGTAAGGCGGCGAGGGCCGCTGCTCTTGCCGTCCTGTATGATGCACGTAATGTACCTTACTATATCTTGTTCAATTAAAACGGTGCTTTCTGGTTGTGATGGCTGCTGCACATGCAAGCGGCATGAATGTACACGTTTGTGAGTGGGGTCGACTCAAATGGGTAGGTATGTGGAAAATATCATAATGATTCATTGTGGTGTAGGTATAGTCATTCAGCAGGGGAGGAGGGGACACGATACGGTCAAGGAAGCAGAGAAGGTGGGAAGGAGCGGTCATTTGAGTCACTCGCCGACTTGCACTTGTCACCCCTTGCGTCCTGGATTTGCCGATCATGGAGCTTCCAGAGCGATGCTCTTGATAATAGGTAACCATCAAGACCAGTTGTCTGGAAATGCGTATCACTCTGGACACGAGAGAAGCACATGGTGGTGTTTCGGGACCATTCCATGTGACATTGACCAATGGCATGTCATGTTTGCAGCTCCGTCCCCCACATCCGACAGTGGACTCATTCCCGCTGTGCTGTCGGCGTCGCTCACTAACTGCAGTGCATAGGGTACGTACCGCGGGTCACTTCAGAGCCTCCCAGAACGGCAATTCATACATACAACTAGTTGTATATTCCACTTGGCGCTTATT